GCAAAAACACAGCAGGCGGCCATTTTTTTAACCCGGTGGCCATTTTTGAACCGCCGATCAGCTGTTAAAAAATCATCGCTTTGCGATGATCAGTAAGCATAACGGCACCGATATCGCAAAGCGATTTTCCCCCATAGGGAACATCGCAATGCGATTGCAAAATCTTCGTTGCTATGCGGTTTCGTCGTTAAACGGGGCGCCTGTTAAGCGAGGCACCACTGTACTCGGAAATGGTTTTCCCTTCCCTTCCTCTAGGGGGAGTCCTGGGACTGCGCAGTTTGCCCAAGGCCACCAAGGCTGACTCTGCAACCACAGACTTCAACCACTAGGCCAGCCAGCCAGCTTAAAAGATTTTAACCTTACATAGAGTGAGCTGTGGTGTCATTTCTGGTCTCACTGACATTCCTGTACGTTGAGATTTGGAAGCAGGGTTTGGATTTTGATTAAAATCAGAAATGTGTGGCAAAACCTCACTGAGAATTCCAGGGTTTACCCCCTGCCTCCAAATTCAGATGTGCAAGGGGCTTACCATTGCACCAGATGGCCCCCCCTCAACATCACTGGGCGCTTTTTTAAAAAATTGTATAATTATGCAGTAATCTGCTAGATGGAGAATTCGCCACTCTCAAATAAAAACAAAAAGAAAAACCAGCTGCGCACCAGCGCTCTCTCTGCGATCCTGCAGTGCAGGCAGAAAGCAAACTCTTTGTAACCGTGCTGTTAAATGTTTATAGGTTTCCTCTTGGGAAGAGAGACGTCTTGAAGAAGTGGGTGTCAAACATCCGGCGCAAGAACTTCACCCCTACACGACACCACGTGATTTGCTCAGAACATTTCCGTGAGGCGGATTACCTCGAAAATGTGGCTTCTGGGAGGCGGTACCTGAAGCCTGAAGCGATTCCCACAGTGTTTAATATCCCTGAGAAACTGAGGAAGGTAAAAACTTGCCACCCTCATTTCTTGCTGCTCCTTCCACATACAGCTGAAAGAAACTTTCTCTGAGCAAACTGAAGCCTGGATTCACCCTGTTTTGGACTGTCCCTTTGCTTTGTAAACCCACACTCAGAAGAAACTCATTAGAAAATCAAATTACTTGCCATTAGTTTCCTTTTTCCAATAACAAAGGCATATACAGTACCTTGCAATTGTGAATTAAGATATAACTTTCCCCGTTTTCATCTGAAGAAGTGCACTGTGCCAATGAAACTTTAAGCCAAATAAAACTGGTTTTTCTTAAATGCACCTTTTGGGGTTTGTTTGTTTTTTCCAGGAGATTAACATTGCTACCTCCTGTCTTGTAACTTTTTAGGCAGTTTTGAGGTTTGGCGGGGTTAGCGCTTTATTAAATAATAATATTTCGTGGCAGACATTGTGCCCTCATGCTGTTGGATTTTGCTTTTTTGTTTAAAACAACTTTCTTATTTTCGAGAAATATGGAATTGCCGCATTATCTTTAAAAAGTGGACTGTTAACTCTAACTACAGTGGTGCCTCGCATTACGACGTTAATTCAAACGCATTAAAACCTGGTTAATGCGTTCCAATCGGCTAAGAACTCACCGTCCGGTGGAGATCCTGCATAGGGGCGGCCATTTTCCGGTGCCTGTGCAGCGAAAAATGGCTCCTAGATACAGCGGGGAGCCATTTTGAAAACCTGACGATCAGTTGTTTTGATCGTCAGGAAGCGAAAATCAGTTCCCGAAACAGGGAACCAATCATCGCACAGTGAAATTCCCCCATTCAAAACGTCGTTTTGCGATCGCAAAAACCTCGTCGTAATGCGGATTCATCGTTAAATGGAGCGCCCGTCTTGCGAGGCACCACTGTATTTTTCCCCCCTTTTTTCAACTGGAACAGTAACTGTAATAAATCATTCTGTTGAGAAACTATTTACAAGATTGTGGTATAAACTTGGCTGCTCTTTAAGAACTGCGTAGGAACAGATCAAAAGTTCTTCCAGTCCGGCATGCCATTGTGTGTGTCGTATCTATCCTTTTAAGATTGTAACAAGTTACTTTTAAGAAGACGCATCTTTAGAAATGGAACATTCTGTGTCTCTCTCCTTGTGCTGAGTATCGGGGGGTGGATGAAAATCAATGATTATTTTTAAACATCTAATTGATTTCAACCACAATTTAAATTCAAGAAGCCATTTTTAAAAATTTTAATCATGAAAAAAATATATATATCAGAATTTAGAAATGTAAATCATGATTTAAGTAATGATTTAAATCAGTTTGATTTAAATCAGATCCACCCTGATGAGTATGGTCTTCTCTGTGTGTCTTTTAGGGTGGTAAGAAGAGACAGCCTCCCGCCCGTCGGAAGCCACCTGACCCTCCTCCAGGCAGTCTGCCGATACCCGAAGAGAACGAGGCAGAACCTCCATCCGTGGGAATGGGGGTGGTTGGCCTGGAACATTCCTACTTTCTCCCGACAAGTCCAGGTCAGTTAGCATGCAAACTTTACACAGTTGTTGAAATATAGATGCTTGTAAAGACCCTGTCTATCCAACACAGGTCTAGAAGTTTGAAGAAACTGTCATCATCATCAACAACATCATGGCTCCATCCAGTGGAATTCCAGGAGCTGTAGTTTAGTGAAGGTACATAGAAACATGTATGGTAGTTTAGAGGAGGAAACTTGAGCTCTGCAGCACAGAACTCTCTCTACTTGGGAGGTGATGCTTGCTTATTTTCAAAATCCCAACTCTCAGAATTCTCCAAATATTCCTCAAGCAGAATTTTGGAAGTTCCAGCCCACAGACCCACACTAGAGATGGGCATGAATTTTTTAAAAAATCACCAAATGCGTGCAAAAATTGCAAATTCATCAGTTTGTATTTGTACAAATTGGTATCCCCGATGCATACGAATCAATGATTTTTAGCGATTTTTGATTTGTTGATTCCTTTGGCTATAAAATGCACCCCTCCCCCAGGCATCTAGACACACCAAAGCTCAGAGAAGCTTCCCGTGACGCTCCTCTACAATCCTCCAAGTTTGGAGAAGATTGGGTTTCAGACGTCCGAGTTATACACCTGGTGTCCCCTCCTTGTGGGTGGATAACTCACATGTCCGAGACCCAAACTTCACCAAAGAGACCATGGGTGGTTTGTTTGCATGGAATTCATGCACTTTTATGCATTTTTCTTATACAGTAGCACCCCCATATCCGTGGGGAATCAGTTCCAGGCCCTCTCACAAATCCTTAAAAATGCAGATGATAGTGAATGTTATTACAGAAAGACCTCCATATTCGCTGGTGATTGGTTCCCCTCTCAGATACTGAAAACCATGGATAATAGTGGACACTATATATAAAGAGAGAGTGAGAGAGTGTGGTAAAGGGAAAATAAAAAACAGAAAAAGTTATTTTGCAAAGACCATGCTGTGTATAGCATTCGCTGTTATACAGTAGGATCCCCATAGCCATGGGATCAGTATCCTCCGTCCAGCCGCTGCTGCCCTGATCTCTGTCCCGGGCGGCGCCTCCTCCTTTGCAGCACCTCCCACAACGACAGCTCTCTGGCTCGGCACCCCAGGAGTGCACGCGGGGATCGGGGCCAGGCCCTTTGCCCCTCCTTCCCTCTCTCCTCCCAATGTGCCAATCCGGAGCACCCCCACTCCCCCCCGCCATCCCCTATTTATGCACGAGCTCTGGGGGGGGGTAGCGTGCGGCACCGATCAGCTGTTTAAAAAGCATTGCTTTGCCATGATCGGTTCCCCAAGCAGGGAACCGATCATCGCAAAGCGAAATTCCCCCATAGGGAACATCGCAAAGCGATCGCAAAAGCAATTGCAAAATCTTCATCGCAAAACAATTTCATCGTTATACGAAGCAATCGCTATGCGAGGCACCACTGTATATAAATACCGAGAAGAATCTACCAAATATCACCCAGGTTCCACCTTTGCTTTTTTAAAAAGATACCCTTAGTTGTTATTATTATTTGTCCAATCTACTGACCAATTTACTCACCAATTTTCTATCTTGGGTTTTCTTCCCCTCTAAGTGTCTGTGTTCTCTCTCTTTTGTTTTTCTTCTCTACTTTTCTTTTCCACTTTTCCTTTCCCACTGGTTTTGTTTTTCTTTTCCACTTAAAAATGCTTTAGTTCTGGATCTTCAATTGTCGTCTTCAGATGACGAAGGCCCGGAGAAGCCTCTGACGACGCAGACAGGCCCTTCTCCCCTCCAGATGAGGGAAAGCAGGGAAAGAACAGAGCAGGACGCCGCGGAGGAGCCTATAGCCAACTCGGAGGACGAGCGCCAGAATTTCCGGGGTTTCTATTACCAAGAGGCGGAAGGCCCGCGCACCGTCTGCAGCCGGCTCTGGGACCTTTGCCACCAATGGCTGAAGCCGGGGAGGCACACCAAGCTGCAGATGCTGGATCTGGTCATCCTCGAGCACTTCCTGGCCATCCTGCCGCAGGAGATGCAGGGCTACGTGAAGGCCGAGGGGCCGGCAAACTGTGACCAGGCAGTGACCCTGGCGGAGGAGTTCCTCAAGAGTCAGCCGGCGGAAGAGGTGAGGATCTTTCCCCCGAAGCCGTCTCCGAGGCATCGAGACCGAGAGATGGAATGGTGGGATTGATGACAATCCCACGATCCGGGACCCAACGGAATTGGAATTTGATCAATGGAAGATGAAGGAAACGAGGAGGAAACTTGGGCAGACAGTGATGCAGAGTTGCGGTGGGAAGCCTTGAAGGAAGAGACACACTAAATGAGAGCAGAGACATAAAGCTGGCCCTCCTGTTAGGCACAGTGAAGCATCTGCCGGGGGGTGAGAGAGCTGAAGGGGAAACAGTAGCTGCACCTTGGCCATTACGTCACTGCTTTCGAGACGTTTTTCTGTCTTTGTACAAAGCTTTCCCCAGTCCTCCTGCTCCCTCTAAGCTTGGAGTGAGGAACCTCCCCTGTCTTCATAATTAGGACAGTAAGGACTTCACAACTTCACCAGTATCTTTTTGACTGTTCTCTTCCTAATCCCTTTGCTGCTCCATTGCTTGTTTCAGGTGCAGCAGCCGTTGGCCGAGATGGCCACCAACATCTGCGCATCAAAGGACGTCTCCACAGGCACTCCGCATTCTCCGTGGTTAAGAGGAATCACCAAGAAAGAGGATGAAATGACCATCATTTCAGGTAAGACGTGAGCTAGCATTGTGGAAATGTACAGCGAAAATTTGCCGTGGCAGAAATCCCAGCCTCAAATTGCTGCTAATGAATAAGTCATCGCTTCAGTTCCTCACTGCGTGCCAGTTGAGCAGCTCAGCACATGACCAGCAATCAGAGCAGTGACTTTTCAATTAGCGGCAATTTGCTCCTTGGAGTTAATGCCATTGCCTGTCTGCTGACGTGATTTGGTTTTGCTTCATTTCTCTCTCTTTTTTTTTTTTTGCTCACACCTGCATTTTCTTTCCATTTTTGTTTCCGATCAAGTTGGGAGACCATGGGTGGTTTGTTTGCATGGAATTCATGCACTTTTATGCATTTTTCTTATACAGTAGCACCCCCATATCCGTGGGGAATCAGTTCCAGGCCCTCTCACAAATCCTTAAAAATGCAGATGATAGTGAATGTTATTACAGAAAGACCTCCATATTCGCTGGTGATTGGTTCCCCTCTCAGATACTGAAAACCATGGATAATAGTGGACACTATATATAAAGAGAGAGTGAGAGAGTGTGGTAAAGGGAAAATAAAAAACAGAAAAAGTTATTTTGCAAAGACCATGCTGTGTATAGCATTCGCTGTTATACAGTAGGATCCCCATAGCCATGGGATCAGTATCCACAGTTGCACTTATCCACAGTCTGAAAATATTAAAAATACTGTATTGAAAGAAAAAATTACAGAAAAAAATATTCACATGTATTACCCAAACCAGCCAATAGAGGGAGTCAGAGACTGCAATGCACACTTGTTAGTGAAGAATACATAGCATGGTTTCTGGCGACCTCTAGTTGCCAGTTCTGGAAACTTCATATTTAGGAATATATATTTCTAGGATTATTTCTTTTAATATTTTAAATATTTTCAGACTATAGATAAATCAATCAGCAGATACAGATCCTTCAGATAAGGGGGTCGTACTGTACACACACTTGTTGACACATTATGTGTAACTGACACACTCCTCCCATTAACTAAACTATGTTTTGTTCATAATTACCCCAACAATGTAAATTCTAACTGTTTCATTTTAAAGCATGTACAGTGGTGCCTCGACTTACGAACTTAATTGGTTCCGGAACTCTGGTCGTTACTCGAAATGGTTATAAGTCAAAGCACCATTTCCCATAGGAATGCATTGAAATGCAATTAATGCCCCCTGTAACCCTTGTAGATAGATATGAAAATCCCTGATTGCAATTAGCATCAAAATGAAACAAAAAGTTACTTTTTGTGAGACCACTGAAGGAATTATTATTATAGTCATGAAGAGAAATTCTTAGCTCTGGCCATTGTCTATTAAAAAGTAATTTTTTATTTTGCTTTAATGAGCTCAAAACAGCTTCAGAGATAATACAATTTTCTTATGCACTAGTTTCTTTATTTTTCATTTATTTCTTTATTTTACCCAATACAGTATATCTCCCACAGACTACCTGAAGTTTCTGCTGTTGGGAGAGAACCAATTAATAACAAAGTCGGTGACTAAGTTTTTATTCTCAGTTTCAAGAATTCATAACATGACATATTAAGACAACCACCTGACTCAACCGTGATTTGGTTTTGCTTCATTTCTCTCTCTTTTTTTTTTTTTGCTCACACCTGCATTTTCTTTCCATTTTTGTTTCCGATCAAGTTGGGAGACCATGGGTGGTTTGTTTGCCAAAAAACACAATCCCCCCAAGACCCATCGGAAATTGGGGGGAAAAAACAAATCAACTCCGCAAGACCCATCACAGCATAGAAACCTATGAATTCATGCACTTTTATGCATTTTTCTTGTACAGTAGCACCCCCATATCCATGGGGAATCAGTTCCAGGCTCTCTCACAAATCCTTAAAAATGCAGATGATAGTGAATGTTATTACAGAAAGACCTCCATATTCGCTGGTGATTGGTTCCCCTCTCAGATACTGAAAACCATGGATAATAGTGGACACTATATATAAAGAGAGAGTGAGAGAGTGTGGTAAAGGGAAAATAAAAAACAGAAAAAGTTATTTTGCAAAGACCATGCTGTGTATAGCATTCGCTGTTATACAGTAGGATCCCCATAGCCATGGGATCAGTATCCACAGTTGCACTTATCCACAGTCTGAAAATATTAAAAATACTGCATTGAAAGAAAAAATTACAGAAAAAAATATTTCCACATGTATTACCTAAACCAGCCACTAGAGGGCGTCAGAGACTGTAATGCATACTTGTTAGTGAAGAATACATAGCATGGTTTCTGGCGACCTCTAGTTGCCAGTTCTGGAAACTTCATATTTAGAAATATATATTTCTAGGATTATTTCTTTTAATATTTTAAATATTTCCAGACTATAGATAAATCAATCAGCAGATACAGATCCTTCAGATAAGGGGGTCGTACTGTACAATGTTTTTTATCTTTGAATTTTCGGGTCTATGACCGTATAATAAAACTTAACTATTTTTCCTTATTTTGGGTGCAGTAACAACTACTGGCAGAAATATTAACCAATTTCCTTGGCCAAAGGCTTCCCCTAGTATTGCTAGGTGCCAAGTAGCAAAATAAAAAATAGGAAATAGATTCAGGATCAAGGCCTGCACATTGATTTTTATATTTTTTTTAAAGAGCAAAACTTCTTAGTCTCCTGTGAAGGCCAACCAAAAGTTACACCTTTTGTCTCTCGATTTCTTAAGGTATTATATTTTGGAAACAGAAAATGTTCTTTTTGCTTCTCAAATGAGTCTTCTTTTTTCCGTTTTCTTCTGCAGGAAATGGGACTCCAGGGGAAATTAAGACGGAAAGCAATCCTGTGGAAGACTCCATGTTAGAAGATGTGATTCCCCCAGAAAACATCTCCCCTGTGATTGAACTGGTTGAAAGTGGGTACCCATTTGGGATCTGAGGCTAGGGGTGAGCAGGCAGTGAGAAGCCACAATTTTGGATCCTGGTTCTCCTACGATACTCCTGGGAGTGCGATTTAGTTGGTTGTGCAGGGGTGGGCAACATGCAGCCTTTAGGCCGCATGCAGCCTTTCCAGGGGCCCAGTCTTTTAAAAAAATAATATTAAAAAATTAATTCTTGCCATACACGCACACACACAAAGACTGAAGAGCGATAATACAAAGAAGAAGATAAATTCAGCTATTTTAAATTTGGAATATCTAATACAATAATACTGTAAGCTGCCTTGGATCCTTTAAGGGAAAGGCGGCATATAAATATTTTAAATGAATGAAATAATGAATATTAGCCTTGGATAAAGGGCAGAATAAAAATGTACTAAATAACCTTTTCCAAAAACTGGCTAGCTGACATAGATGTGAACCAAAATAATTTTTAAAAACCCACCAGAACCCAAATTTTCTCGGGGGTCTGCCATGCTCTGACTTCCATGAACATTATATTCTCTTCAAGAATAACCCTGTCCTGTTTCAGGCAGAATAGATCTGGATAAAATAATAGCAATAATGGCTAACCAGAAAGGTGTTGCTTTTTGGGGGGAAACGGGAGGGGGTAGATTCCCCTTTTTGAAAAAAATTACCAAAGTTGATGTCTTTTTGGGGGGGCAGGGAGCTGTTACTGCTCTGATCAAATGGACTTTAATGTGGACGCTTTGAGAAAGCCAAAGCCTTTCCCTTCTAAAACACTCAACATTTTACCTCACGAAAGGAAAAAATGGAAACCTCCTTAAAAGAAGACCTCAGAAGTGGTCAAATAGTGATTTATGTGATTTTTTTTCTCCCCCTAAAGGAGATCCCTTTGGATCAGCAGTTTTATGTCCATCAGAGGCTTTTTAAAATTTACATTTTCAGAAGGATTTTGTTTCTTTGAGGATTGTGTGAGTTTTGCCACTTCAGGAGCACATGCTGTTTCATCATCAGCGTCATAATAAAATTCACTTCATACAGAAGTCTAGTGTGTAACTGCAATGGGTGTGTGGAGGTTGGTGGTTTTAGACTACATCCCCCAGAATTCCCCAGGCAGCTCTGCTAAGCAGGGGGCTTCTGGGAGTTGTAGTCCAATAAAACCTTGCAAGCCTTCTGTAGTTCTAGGCCGACCTTTTCTCCCTAATATTTTGGGTCTCATTTTTATGGGCAACCCTGGATTTGCTCCTTGTCCAGAGCTGGCCAGGCCCTCCTCTTAAGCAGAGTGTGGCCGCCTAGCCTCAGGCGGCATCCAATCCTGGGACGTCCTTCGTTCTTTTCCTGGTTATTGCTTTAGTCTTACAGACGGGGGTCGGGAGAAGTGCTTTTGGGATTCGCTGCCTCGTGGGTTTGGGTCCCATGCGTCCCGATGTGAGCCTCTGGCTTTGCCTCAGGCGGCAAAAGGTTTTGAGCCACCCAGGCATAAAAGGAACATGGGGCCAGATGTGCAGTCTGAAGTAATATACATGGTTCTTCCATGTAGGATATTTTTGGAATAACAGTTTAGGTCTCTGGCTAAGGAGTCAGAGGTTGGGAGTTTGATTCCCGGCCAGGCCTCCTTAACAGAGGCTGGACAAAGTGATCCATAGGGTCCCTTCCAGCTCTGCCCTTCTAAGGTGATGATGATGATTCAGTCGGATAGATGGCTCCAGGATTGAGGGAGGCAGCTCCTTCCTCCGTCGGAGGCTCTGCTGAGCGTCTCTGGACACAAGCCGCCATAGATGCTCCCTCTGGGTTTAGCCTCCATTTAAATTTTCCGCTGTGCCCGTGATGTCGTTTTGCAGCGATGTTTTGGGGACAGTGGAAAATGGCGAAGAGCCTTGGCTGCACGCAGCTACGTAAAGCACCAGGCTGGGGAGAGGGGAAGGGTTTTAAGCAGGCTTCAAGGAATTTCTTTATAGTAGGACCCCTGTATCCACGAGTAATCAGTTTCAAGCCTCTCGCAGATGCTGAAAAATGGGGATTATAGTGAACATTATTGTAATAGCGAACACATGAAATAGCATGGTCTCTGGCTCCCTTTAGTGGCCAGATCTGGGAACTTTATTGTTACACACAAACACACACACACACACACACACACACAACACACACATGCCTTTAGTGGCCAAATCTGGGAACTTCATTGTTACACACACACACACACACACCCCATGTATATATGTGTATATATGTGCATGTATGTGCATGTATGTATCTGTATGTTCACACACACACACACACACACCTATGTATGCATGCATATATATATGTGTGTGTGTGTATATATGTGCATGTATGTATATGTATGTATGTTTACACACACACACCATTTCCCTGAAAATGAGACCTAACCTGAAAATAAGCCCCACTATGATTTTTCAGAATGCTCGTAATATAAGCCCTACTCCAAAAATGAGTTAAGTGAAAGTGTGCCCTCCAAACCTTGCGTAGCGACCAGATGATGATGACAGGACTATATTTGAATAAACATAGTCCTCCACCCTTGTGTAGCGACCAAATGATGATGACAGGACTGTATTTGAATAAACATAGATTGTACGGTACATGAAAAAAATAAAGCATCCCCTGTGTTAAAGCCTTAATGTGTTTTTTGGAGCAAGAAAAACATAGATTGTACATGAAAAAAATAAAGCATCCCCTGAAAATAAGCCTTAATGTATTTTTTGGAGCAAGAATTAATATAAGAGTCTGTCTTATTTTTGGGGAAATACGGTATATATACTGGTTTTAAGCAGTTTTATCTTGTTTTGATTTGTTTATTATTGGCAAATCGGCCAGAGTACTGCTAAATAAGTAAGTAAGTAAGTAAGTGGATTTTTCTTTTAATATTTTTAATAATTTCAGACGGTGGATAAGTAAATCAGTGGATACTGATCCTGTGGAAGAGTCTGTCTTATTTTTGGGGAAATACGGTATATATACTGGTTTTAAGCAGTTTTATCTTGTTTTGATTTGTTTATTATTGGCAAATCGGCCAGAGTACTGCTAAATAAGTAAGTAAGTAAGTAAGTGGATTTTTCTTTTAATATTTTTAATAATTTCAGACGGTGGATAAGTAAATCAGTGGATACTGATCCTGTGGATACTGGGTTCTACTGTATATCTTTACATCTCTCTCACATTTCTTTGGCAATTCCATCCCCCCCTTGCAGCTGTCGTGTGGCAGAGCGAGGATGAGGGGGACGCTTCGTGCGAGGGAAGTGATGGTGCAGACATGGAAGAGGATTCTGGGGATCTGGAAGGAACAAAGACACATGAGGGGAACCAAGCAGCTGAGAAGAGAAGAGGGACCTTGACAGGTAACTTCCAAGTCATCTTGGGTTAGTGGCGGATTCGTTTGTTTTTTTCTTGGCATTGCAACCACCTCACGAAGGACTGGTTGGCCTTTTCAGCTTTGTGGCGGGAATTTGGACTGACCCGGCAGGATTTGCACCTACGGGACTAGGAAATCATTAATTAAAATCAATTGTTTACGTATATTTATTTAAAATGTCTAACATTTTTTTCCAAGACGCATTATTTCATAGTTAAATATTAAGTATTCATCCTCATCATCTTAGAACTGCAGAGCCTATATTTATTTAAAATGTCTAACTTTTTTTTTCAAAATGCATTATTTCATAGTTAAATATCAAGTATTCATCCTCCTCATCTTAAAACTGCAGAGCTAGAAGGAGCCCTATATAGATGATGAAGTCCAGCTCTTGTCTAGGAGGCCCAGTTCTCTTAATTTTAAACGATTGAAAAAAAATTAACTAATTAATTTTATAATGTTTTCTTGGTGGTTTAATGCTACCAGGTTACTCTTTTGTTTAAAAAAATATGTTATTTTTTTGCCTTCACCATTTTCAGACTTTGCGAGGTCTTCCTCTTTTTTTAATCATTTTTGCACCATGCCATACACACGGAATCCCTGCTTATTTCCACCTTTTTTCATTAAAAGCACAGAAAAGATGAAAATGCTGAAACGACGTATGTTCTGTGGAGCTGCAGTGCTTTGACCCTTTCTTACCCAATGAGAAGAGTTCATACAAGTGTGGCTGTTTGCCATTGGCTGGATTGCTGTGAGGTCACAGAGAAGTCCAGAAGATAGGGAGAGAAAATTGAGAATAAAAAGTGAAAATCTAGTTAGGTTAAAAAACAGTCTTTGTAAGATTGACATTTGCCAGATTCGTAAGTGAGAAGGCATCATGGAATCATTGTGGAATCCACCCCCCAACCCCCGCTCAGGGCAGGAATCCAAATCAAAGCCAATCGGACAGATGGTTGTCCAATTTTCTCTTGAAAGCCTCCAGCATTGGAGCGCTAATCACTTCCCGAGATCATAGGTTCCATTCTCGTACTGCTCTAAGAGTTAAGACGGTTTTCCTTGTAGGGGTCTCTGTTCTGTTGCTGCTGTTGTTTTCAAACAAGCATTTCTGTTCTTGAAATAATAATCTAGAACTGCACAGCTGGAAGGGATCCTATGGATCATCAAGTCCAGCCGCCATCAAGGAGGCACAGAGAGGAATCGAACCCCTAACCTTTGGCTCCATAGTCCGAGACCGAAACCACTGAGCTGTACCCACCTGTTGTCCATGCAAACACATGTGTGCATTTCTTTGATCTGGAAGATATGCACACTGACACCTACCCACCCACATATACCCTTGGTGGGACACAAGGCAGTTTTGCCATTTTTGTTCTCTTTATAAAACAAGGAATAGGTTCCCCTTGACAATTTTTGTCCAGTTGTGTTCGACTCTAGGGGGCGGTGCTCATCCCCGTTTCCAAGCCACAGAGCCAGCGTTTGTCCAAAGACAATTTTCCGTGGTCACATGGTCAGTGCGACTTAGACACGGAACGCTGTTACCTTCCCACTGAGGTGGTCCCTATTTATCTACTTGCATTTGCATGCTTTTGAACCGCTAGGTTGGCGGGAGCTGGGACAAGCGACAGGCCGCTCACTCCGTCGCGTGGATTCGATCTTACGACTGCTGGTCTTCTGACCCTGCAGCACAGGCTTCTGCGGTTTAGCCCGCAGCGCCACCACATCCCTAAAACAAGGAATAACAAAGAAGTTAACTCAGAAGGGGAAACCCAGAAGGGGCCGAGTGTCTCTTTAGCTCCGAGCTGAATCAAAGAAAACAACAACAACAAATGGCAGAAGGCTCAGCTTAATTAGAGAAAGATTGCTCTTTTCTTAGCTCCTGCACATTTTAAAGAAAGAGACCAAACCACCATTAGGGGCCAAATGGATTCTTCCAAATGGATCAGAAAACAAGGATTATGTACAGAAAAAGAGTGGTAACAGAGAGCTGAAACTCCACCCCCGTCACCCCAGGTCTTATCACAAATGGTTTGAAGTGGGTAAAAAATTGGGAGACGCTGCCTGGTACCACACTGTGGTTAATGTGGCATGAAACAAGTCAAGGAAGACCAGGAGGGTGAACAGTCCCAAAACAGAAGTGGGGTGGCCGATCAAGCAGATGTCTTGAAGAACGTGGGAGGCTGCCATGGAACCTAGTGCTCTGCTTGTCCAGATTTCATCAATGGGGTACCCAGTGCCAAAGACAGTCCCGGGTTCGAGGAAGAAAAGAGATCTCTGGTTTGCTCTGGAGCAGCGCTGCGCTTGCCAATTCTTTAGTGCCGATGGGTGTGAATCCTTCAACGGGTGTGTCTTTTGCTCTTGTAAAGACACAGGGAGAGCACCATGCCCAGCAGTTCTGTGAGGCCCACAGCGGCACACACCCCCAGGATAATGTCAAAGTTCCCGGCGACCCATTTCTGCAGCGCCTCGTGGCACCCTTGTTTCGGTACCGGCCAGTCGGCGATGGTGACCTTGTCAGAAGGTGCCTGAAGAGGGCAGAAGCCCAGCAGGACCAGGGAGGTATTGCTACAGGAGCAGGGGAAGAAGGTGTAGTTCTCCTTCTGGTAGGCGGCGTTGATCTTCCAGTTATCTGGCCCAGTCCAGCCACAGCAGCTGAACTGGGACTGGATGTTGTCCCAGGCGGTCTCCAGGGTCCGGTTGACTTGGTCCGTCGCATTGTAGGTCATCAGAAGGTCTCGGATGGTCTCTGTCGTCCGGGCTTTGACCGTGTCCTGTTGGAAGAAGAGGAAGACACCGGTGGCGATCTGGGCCACGAGGATGAACAGCAGGGAGGCGATATACAGGCCCAAGAGGCATCGGATCCCGTAGTACGCCCCCACGCAACCCAAAAACCCCATGAACATGGTCACAGCCCCGACTGCGATGAAAGCATACACCCCGAGCTTGAACATGGGCGACGAGATGTGCAGAATGGTTCCGAAAGGGTTTTTGTCGGTCAGGATCCAGAGTCCGCAGGTCACGATCAGAGTGCCTAAGATAAAGAAGACGTGGTTGAAGAACAGGAAGAAGTACAGCGCGATTTTGAGGCAGCAGAGCCCCATGTTTGCTTTCTACACCGCTTTCTGTTTCTCTTCGGAACTCAGAACATTCCGATTAGAAGGCAGAGGAGGGGGGAAAGAAACACCCTCCACCCACACAACGGAACCCCAGGACAATCTCTTCCAGATGTCACAGTGCTTTTAGGCCGATAGCAGGTTTGTGGTTGGTGCTTCTGGAGGTCACTTCGTAGGCAACCAGTGAAGGTCTTTCAGGATCGGAGTACCTCGCACCAGTTAGCATAGGAGCTGACCATTGTGCACTAACGTAATCTACCAGACAGTCTTCAAGGGTAGTCCCACATGGAAAATATTGCAGTAGTCAAGATGTGGATGACAGTTGCCAGAGCAAACTGATTTAGGAAAGGTTATACCATACCTTCAGTACCTTGTCCACTGTTGTTGCATGGGTAGCCAAAGGAGCAGCAACGATGCACCTTTGGGCAGCTCTTCAGAGCTTTAGGGGAAGCCATAAGCCTAACAAAAGTGTGTGTGTGGGGCAGTGTACAACCCTTCCTGTCTGTAGGTTGGATGTAGAAATCTAAAACCAGTTTAGTAAAGACTGAACATACACAGAGGGCACAGAATATGAACTGTGATGGTGATAATGGTGATGGTAGTGCAGTACAGTAGGAACCCCCCTCATCCATGGGATCAGTATCCACTGTTGGTGGTAATGGTGATGGTAGCTCAGTACAGTAGGCAACCCCTCCCCCCTATCCACAGGATCAGTATCCACTTATTCACGGTCTGAAAATATTAAAAATATATATTTTTAAATCCTCCAAAATATATATTTTTAGTGATGACGCTGCTAGAGCTGACCACTAGAGCAAGCCAGAGACCATCCTATGTATAGCATTTTTCATGTTTTTCAACATCCACCAGGGACTTGGAACCAATCCCTGGCAGATATGGGGATCCTACTGTAGAAGAAACCAGGTGGAGGAGGAGAGAACCAAGTATCCTGAACTCAGCTCTCTGGAGTTTTGTTGCAGGTCTGACTTACAATTCTTTTTTTAAATTTCCAGCCCAGAGTGACCAAAGGCAGCAGAAAGAAGCCGGAAAACAACTAGAGGCACCAAATCCAAGAGAAGGCAATTCTTCCTGTGGCTCTCAGATGGAGGGGATTCCTGGCAATGTGCAGGGTGCAGAGGGCCCTCAAGAAACCCTTCAACAGAAACCAGCGAAAGGATATCTCTACATCTGTGTCTACTGTGGGGAAAGTTTCCATAAGCAGTCACAGCTCGTCTTCCACGAGAGGGATCATACTGGAGACAAACGGCACAGCTGCACCCACTGCGGCCAACGTTTCTCCTCCCGCCCCGAGCTTCTCAGCCACAAGGCGAGCCACGCGGGCGACCGCCCCTACCAGTGCTCCGACTGCGGGAAGACTTTCCGCGAGGAAGCGTATGTTCTCCAGCACCAAAGAATCCACACGGGAGAGAGGCCGTACGTCTGCACTGTGTGCGGGAAGGGCTTCTTCCGCCGAGGGTCCCTCCTCCTCCACGAGAGGATCCACACGGGGGAGAAACTGTACAGATGCCCGGACTGTGGGAAGAGCTTCAGCCGGAGGCCGCACCTCGCCGTACACAGAAGGATCCACACCGGGGAGAAACCCTACGAATGCTCGGATTGCAGGAAGACCTTTGCGGTGAAGTCTGCTCTGAACGTCCACATGAGGACTCATTCCGAGGAGAAGCCATACCAGTGCTTGGACTGTGGGAAGAGCTTCCGTGAGAAAGGGAGCCTCACGATCCACAAGCAGAGTCACACGGCCGAGACGCCGTTTCAGTGTGCGGAGTGTGGGAAATGCTTCCGTTACAAAGCATCTTTTCGGAGACACCGGAAGACCCACTCGGTAGGACCGGTCCTGAAATCGTACGAGTGCCCTGAATGCGGGAAAGGCTTTGGTCGCAAAGACTACCTTATCACCCATCGGAGGATCCACACGGGAGAGAAGCCTTACATGTGCTCCATATGCGGGAAGACCTTCAATCATGGCGCAACCCTCGTCACCCACAAGAGGACCCATACTGGAGAGAAGCCTTACGAGTGCTCCGAGTGTGATAAAAGCTTCAAGCAAATTTCGGGTCTGATTACGCATCGGCGGACCCACACGGGAGAGAAGCCATACGAATGTTCCGAGTGTGGGAAACGCTTCATCCTGAAATCCTATCTGGACATTCACAAGAGGATGCACACGGGAGAGAGGCCGTATCAGTGTTCACACTGTGGGAAGGGTTTCTCGTGTTCTTCTTACCTGTTGAGGCACGAGAAAACGCACACTGAGGAACGAACGCACACATGTTCTGACTGTGGTGAGAGCTTCCACTGGAAGCGTTCCCTTATTATGCACATGAGGAAACATACTGGGGAACAGAACATACACAAATGCCCGGTCTGTGGCAAAACCTTCAGCTGGTCGTCGGCGCTGAACGTTCACATGAAAACCCACACAGGAGAGAAACCGTACACTTGCTCCGAATGCAGGAAAATGTTCAGCAGTAAATGGATCCTTCTTCAGCACAAGAGGATCCACACAGGGGAGAAACCCTACGACTGCCCGGAGTGTGGGAAAAGCTTCCATGTGAAATCATCTCTTCTTGCCCATAAACGGACTCACACAGGGGAGAAGCCCCACGAGTGTCCCGAGTGCGGGAAGAGCTACAGCGTCAAAGCCAACTTTGTGGCTCACATGAGAACCCACACAGGGGAAAAGCCGTACGAATGCTCGGACTGCGGGAAAAGCTTTTATAAGAAGGACCGCCTCATGACACACAAGCGCACCCACACGGGAGAGAAACCCTACCAGTGCTCGGAGTGCGGGAAGGGGTTCAACTGGAAAGTGGGCCTGATCAACCACATGAGGATTCACACGGGGGAGAAGCCCTACGCCTGCGCGGCCTGTGGGAAGTGCTTCCATAAGAAAGACCACCTGGCCAGGCACGAGATCATCCACACGGGGGAGAAGCCCTACGCCTGCGGGGATTGTGGGAAAAGCTTCAACCAGAAGGTGGCTCTCATTGTGCACAGGAGGACTCACACAGGAGAGAAGCCGTACAAATGTGCCGAGTGCGGGAAGAGCTTCAGCTGGAAGAAATCCCTGATCACGCACAAGGCGGCTCACACTGGGAAGAAACCCTACCAGTGCGCCCACTGTGCGGAAAGCTTCAGCCGGCGCTCCCATCTGGCCGAACATGAAAGTTCCCATGGAGGTGAGGTGTGAAGTGGAAAGCTCAGATTTAAAAAAAAAAAAAAAGGGGGGGAGGCCATCATTAAGTGAGGGAGCATCTGCCTTTATTCGTTTACTTATTTGGTATAATTTGTAGGGTGCTTTACTCCCAATGATGGGACTCAAGGCAGCTCATAAATGAAAAACAGGTAGAATTTTAAAAACCCACAATAAATTAAAAAGGAACTAAACCATAGAATAGTGTTTTAATTGTTTTAACTGTTTTAGCTTATAATACTTGATGGAACCCACCCGGAGTAGACTTTGTCTAAAAGGGCGGGATAGAAATCAAATCAAATCAAATTAATCAATCAATCAATCAATAAGAATTAAATGATTAAAAGCATTTAAACTTCTAAAAACAAGCTTGCTAAATTAGAAACCAGGTTATTAAAAGCCTGCCTGAAGAGGTGGGTTGGCGAAAGGATTTTAAAAAAGTGGGGGAGCACAACCCGGTCTCCAACCTGGAAGAGGGTTCCACAACCTGGGAGCGGCCACCGAGAAGGCCCTCTCTCGGGTCCCCGTCAAGCGTGCCTGCGATGGCAAGGGGACTTCAAATGAGGGACTCCTCTGAAGATCTTAAGGGTCATGTGGGGGAGAATGCTGTCCTTCAGATAGCCTGGACTCAAGCCATGGATGGTGGGAAACATTTTAGTTGGAAGGTTTTCCATACAGAAGGGTTAAGTTTCAACTCCCGCCATCCCACATTAAAAGGATCTCTGGTGGCAGCAGGGTCGGCGTCAAGCGCCTGCCTTCCTGGGCCATCCAGTGCCCTGGAAAGGCTTGCAGTGGTTGAAGTTGCTCTTTTGAACAACGGGTATGATTCCTTCCCCAGTATGGCCATGCTGCCTCGGGGATGATGGGATCTGTCTTCCCACAAAAGTAAATTTCCACAGCCCCATTGATGCCCTTCCCCTTACAGGCTTCCCTCCCCTTCGGACTCCGGCCAGCTCTATGTAGGGGAGGGAAGCCTGTAAGGGGAAGAACATCAATGGGGCTGTGGAAATTTACTTTTGTGGGAAGACAGATCATCCTCTGAGCTGCCATTTGGATTTCCCAGCAAGGTAGGTAGCCTTGCTGTGGGGTACTGTGGGACATTTTAAAACCAGGTTTAAAATGTCAAATAGCTACTTTCTGCTGTTTCCCCAGAAACCAGCTGCCAAGTGGGATAAATCTCACTGGGCCAAACAGAGAATTTGGGGGGGGGGTGGTGTTTCCCATCAGACAGTGTTTGGCCTTGGGCTGCCTCGGTGTGTCGGCGGCAGATCTGAGAAGATCTCCTGCCCTGAAACATTGGAGGTCTTGGATCATTTGAGGTTAGATAGTCCAGGAGTCGAGGAAACCTTTAGGGTGCTTGGTCTCAATCCTCAGCAGTGGGAAACGGTCCTTTCGAGTCGTGTTGGATTGCACAGCCAGAGGATGATGCGAACTTCAGTCTTGACAGTGCCCGGAGAACCCCCATGTCTCCTTATTCTTGTCTGAGATCAAACGAAGGACCTTTCTAGACCGGCTTCCTTGTCTCTAGTGCAGGGGTCTCAAACATGCGGCCTGGGGGCCATTTGCGGCCCGCCGGATGATAGTTTGTGGCCCCTGCCTTGCCTGCCCCCCCCGAAGCACCAACCGCGTCCTCTGCTGTCAAGTCAAAAAAAGCCTCACCTCGCTCGCTGGCTGTCTCCCAAGACAGCGCCTCTTGCCCCCTCCATCCAGAAGTGCAGCCTGCCAGCCAGCCCATATGTCTGCCGGCTGGCGGGCTACAGTTCCGGATGGAGGGTGCAAGAGGCACTGTCTTGGGGGAAAGCCTGCGAGCAAGGCACGCTTCTGGCCCTTTCCCCCAAGCACCCGAGCCACCGCCAAGCGATGCCTGAGAGCGGAGCTCGCTCCTGGCCCGTCCTCGAAGAGCCCCTCCAAGCCGCCAACAGCAGTCACCGCCGCTGCCTCTTCCAGGGAAGCGGCTCTCTGCCTCTCTTTCTCTCTCAGCACCCCCAGCACCAGCCTGGCCAGCGGCCGCGTCAGCACCCAGCGGTGCTTCCTCCTTCTCCTCCTCCTTCAGCCACCTCGGCTCTGGAGGCTGCCTGGGCTCGCCTCACAAAGTTTGCTCCTCTGTCGTGGTGGGGGTAGCTGCTGCTGCTGAGTGCACCTTTTTTGAGCGGAGGCTCTCAGAGGAAGGTTGCCGGACCGCCATATGTGTGTGTGTGTGTGTGTGTGTGTGAACGTGCGCACCTGTGGGGGCCCACCCTGCTCTGTTTAATTTCGTGGGTACCGATGGGGGCTTTTCTCCTTTGGCAAGGCTATTCTGTGAGGGATTTTTTAAAAAAAATGTATGTTGTGCCCTCCTCTCCCCCCCTCCCCGCTAAGCGGTCGCTGGGACTCCCTCCTCTGTTTCTTCGTCCTGCTGCTGCTGGTGGTGGTTAGCCTGGCTGGGGCTCCTACTCGGAGCCCCAGCCGGGCTAAGGAAACTCCTGGGTGGCTTCCTCAGGCTCTTGTTCCGCTTGGCGGAAAATCTGATGCAGCCCACCCTCACCCAGACTCTGCCTCCAGCGGCCCCCAGGTAAATGGAGTTTGAGACCCCTGCTCTAGTGTCTATCTGGAGGCCCCCAGGTTTTCCTGCAGAGCAGATCCAGGAGGCATTGGGCCCTCCTCCCTTGTTTTTTTTTTTTGGCCAGTGCCACCAGGACCCTCACCAGGACCTGTCAGGTAGCCACTGGAAACTGAGGTTTTGTGGGGCCATTCTTATGAATAGGGCAAGGATTTCTATGACAAGTCACCTTTTCTCTGCAACCTACCTTTGAACCCCCTAAGCGAGTTTGAACAGGTTTTCTGGCCTTTCCCACCAGATTACTCATAAACATGTCCGAACCCACTCATCAGCTCAAACACAGGTTGCGGGAAAAGAAAATACATGTCGGAGAAATCCTTGCCCTGGTTATGAGTAATTATTATAACAGCAGCTCAAACCCTCTTCCATAAATATGCGTAATTTGGTTCTAAAGCTGTGTTTCCTAACTTTGGGTCCCCAGAGGTTCTTGGACTGCAACTCCCAGAAATCCTGGCCAGCACAGCTAGTGGTGAAGGCTTCTGGGAGTTGTAGTCCAAGAACACCCGAGGACCCAAAGTTAGGAACCGCTGGCCTAGAGCCATATTAGCTGTCAATCGTTGCTATCCTGTTCTGACTGTGACTTCTGGGGGGGGGGATCGGAATTCCACACTATATGACAAGCAGTTTTCTATCTTCATCAGTTTCCCTAGGGCATTCCAAAGTTTTAAGTAGATAACTTTTCTCGATTTGCTTTCTCTGCGTAATGCTATAAGCCTCTGACCATCATCAGAGCTGGAAAAATTGTTCTTTTAAAAAAAAAAAAACAGTGGCTTTCAGGATTCCCCAGCCAGCAGGAGCATAGCAGGCTGGCTCGGGAGATTTTGGCTCTCTCTACCATCACTCCCACTTAGTGACTTGGTGTATGTTATTTTTTTTAATCATAAAAATAACCACGGACTTTTCCCCCTCTCTTTCAGCTTCCCTTGCGGTCACATCACAGATTTCAGTGGAGGAAGTCACTACTGCTGTGGTAAGGGACAAAATATTTATAATAGTCATAATATGATGTTTGTGTTAGTTACTCTTGCAGGCATTGCCAGTTTTTAATGTTTACTGACTCAATTGTAACTTATTATGTTTTTAATCTATTCTTTTTAATACTATAAGCCGCCTTGGGTCCCCTTATCAGGGAAAATGGCAACTTATAAATAAAACAAACCAGCTCTTTGGTTCTGCCTGCCACAACCTTTGGAAAATCTCCGCCCTGCGCACCCCGACAGAAGTGTGTTTGTTTGTTTTTTCAGTCCATGACAAAGGCATTTCAAGGCTGGCATTTCAAGTCTGAAAATCTCTTGGGGTTTTAAAAACATTTCTTCTGCAGCCCCTGCTTCTGGTTTTGTTCCATTTCAAATGTTGTTCTGAACTTCTTCCTAACATTTTAGACAGTTGGAAGTTGTCCCGATAAATTGCCCAGAGAAACTTGGTTTATTGGGTAGCGTGCTAAAGAGGACAAACAAACCAATGAAAATAAAATAAAATAATGTGCCTTGCCTGTGGGTTTCCCACAGGCATCTGGTTACAAATGACATTGCAGCAACCAGCAAATAAGGAGGAACGCTAAACATAAACCTGTCCTTGTTATTGGATTCCACCGTTCCGCCTTTTCTTATTCTAACTTTCAAAACTATTGTTCCAGGTGAGTTTGGATTGCAACACCATCATTTTAACCACCGCCGTCTAGATCGGGAGCCTTGGAAAGCCAAACTGGGGTAAAGGTAAGCAAACGGTGGCTACAGCATATTCATTCATTCATTCATTCATTCATTCATTCATTCATTCATTCATTCATTCATTCTATTTATATCCTGCCTATCTGGTCAATAATAGCTGCCAGTGGTGAATCCATGGGACATTCTGTACTGATGTGTTGCTTTCCAGTTTAGCAATTGCTGTAATTCAGTGGGCCGGCTTTGGTGGATTCAAGCCTAGAGTGTTGGAATAAGTTGAGGGACGACCACATCGTGAGGCAAGAGAGACAATGGGTTCGGGGTGGCAAATCCTGGAAGGGCAGCTCTGGCCATTTTTCTGCTGCTCCCCCTGGACTTTTTGGTTGTTGGAAAACAGGGTCCCACTGCCTGCCCCAGGAACCCTTAGCCAGTCAGCGGCCAGTCGACTGCCCTTCAGGTTGGGAGGAAGACAGGACAGCATTGCTGTTCATTGAAGCGATTCAGCTGCCAGACCGGCCATCTTCTCAGTGTCGAACAGGGAACAGGTGTTCTCTTACCCTTAGTAAAGGTAAAGGTTCCCCTTGACATTTAGTCCAATCGTGTCCGACTCTAGGGCGCGGTGCTCATCCCCATCTCCAAGCCATAGAGCCAGTGTTTGTCTGTAGACAGTTTCCGTGGTCACGTGGCCAGCGCGACTAGACACGGAATGTCGTTACCTTCCCACCATGGTGGTACCTATTTATCAACAGTGGTGCCTCGCTTAGCGATCGCTCCGTTGAGCGATGAAATCGCTTAGCGACAGAGTTTAAGTGATCGCAAAAGCATCGCTTTGCGATGGTCACTATGAGGAAAATTCGCTTTGCGATTATCACGGGGAAGCGATCATTGCAAAGCCCCCATTTTCGGCCAGCTGATCAGCGGTTTAAAAATGGCCACCGGGAAAACAAAATGGCCACCCGCTGTGTGTCCTCACTTTAGAGGCACCAAAAATGGCCGCCCCTATGGAGGATCTTCGCTTTAAGGTTAGTTTTGAAGCCCATAGGAACGCATTAATGGCGATTTAATGTGTTTCTATGGGCTTTTTAATTCCGTTTAGCGATGAAATCGCTTAGCAATGTTTTTTCCTGCACGGATTAACGTTGCTAAGCGAGGCACCACTGTACTCGCATTTTTACATTCTTTCGAACTGCTAGGTTGGCGGGAGCTGGGACAAGCAACGGGAGCTCACTCCGTCGCGTGGATTCGATCTTACGACAG